AGGCCTGCACCCCTGACAGTCCCAGGGTCTCAGGAACTACCAGCTAAGAGCACAGGTGGATGGGGCTCGGTTCAAATCCAAGCTCTGCCCCCTGAGTAGTTCTGTGGCCCAACTGACAGGCCCAAGCACTTCAGTGTCAAACCTTCCTCAGGGTCGCTGTGAGGGTTAAATGAGCTAATACGTGTTCAGTGCTTCGAACAGTGCCCGGCCTGCAGGAAGTGCCCTCTCAGTGAACACCCATGTGCCAACAGGGAGCACAGGCAGATCTGAGGCCCGAGCCTTGACCCCAAGCCCCTTCCCTGCCTCTCCTTTCTCACCACAGGCCTGTGCCACCCCCAGCCCCACCACACCCCTCCCACCTGGCCGCCCTTGCCCAGGCGAGGCTCCGCGGGGAATTATCCTCCAGGGTCTGAACAAATGTTCCTTTCTCTTCACTTGCTGTCTAGATTACTCCATTTTCAATCCAGCTTCCCAACGGCCTCCAGGATGAGCCCTGATTAATTTCCCATAAAACCACAGGCAGAAATGTTCCCTCTGTGGTGTGTACCTCCCTCCCCAGGGAGGGCTGGCGTCCCGATGGCCATCTGTCACCTCCAGAGCACGTCACCCCTCACCCACAGCTGTCATCAGCTCTGAAGGGTCTCTTGAACCCTCTGTCCTGTGGTCTGATACCCTCCATCAGCTACTGCCCCCACCCCACCCCATCCCCGACTCCCAGGGTCAAGAAGACCCATCCAATCACAGCCCAGCTTTCTCTTGCTTTGACCAGTTCCGGAGCCTGCTAGAGTCTTGCCCAGAATGCCCGGCCGGGGTGGCAGAGCCAGGCCTTGACCTCGGGGCTTCCATCTCAAAATCTTGGCCCTGGGTGGCAAAGCAGGTGGCAGGGACAGAAAACGCCTGCAGATGAGTGCTGGGGAATCAGGACCTACTGACCCCTCCCCCCGCCCCACCCCCATGCCTGCAGCAGGCAGTGTTTCATTTCTGGGAGGTTCCTGCACTTGGTCTGAACTGGATCCAGGTTCAGGGCCATGTGTTGCCTCTGGCTAAGGGCTGTGGGTACGGCCCTGCCCAGAACCAGTCATCTATCAGAGAAACCTGTGGCCCAAGCGCTCTGGGGTGGGCCACTCTGCAGGCCTAGTGACACTGAGCTGCTGTGTGGAAGGAGCTTGCTGCTAAGGTCACAGGCTGAGGCCCCTGGAGGAGGAACTGTCATTCCAGGAGTCATTCACCCATGGGATTCCCAGGTAACAACCCACTTCTCGGAAGGAAGGACGGACTCTCAGACGGACCAGTTGTCCCTCACATCTCACTCTCCCCCTTCTTCCACAGTGACAAAGCTCCCAGAGTTTAGCTGGGCACAGGGCTGTCCGGAATAGAGACCACATTCCAGGCTCCCTTGCAGCTCAGTAGAGGACTCAGTCCTGGCCGTGGACAGAGCATCATGTTGTGGCTTCCAGAGCCCTTCCTTAAAGATAACGAGGGCCGTTCCCCTTGCTTCCTTTTCCTCAGCGCCTCGCCACCCTCATGTCTGGATCTTGGAGGTGACGGCTGGGGTTTCAGCAGCACCACCGTGGACCAGGAGGCCCGCATCACAGAATGACCAGCTACAAGAAGTCTGGGTTCTCCCTCTGGGCTTTTCCATGACAAGAGAAATGGAGTCCTATCTCATTTAAGCCACCGTTCCTTCGGGTCTCTGTTGCTACAGCAACTCTAGCACTAGCCAAATGCACAAGTGTTAGACAGATGGGTCTGAGGCAGAGAAAGGACCCTGCCTCCCCTCCCGGCTCTGAATTAGAGGACGGGGAGCTCTGGGAGCGTGGAAGTGAGGCGGCACCGAGGTAGGCCGACGGGGAGCTGGGCGCTCCCGGCAGCGGGCCTCACCTGTCCGCATAGCTGCCGCTGCGCGTGGAGGTGGAGGGCCTGCTGGGCACCGACCCTCGCACCGAGGGCCCCAGCGCTATTCTCCCCACGCCATGCCCTCCCTCACTGAGCAGGCGGCCCTGGCCACCTCCCCTCAGCAGCCTCCCCTGTCTGTCTCTGCAGCCGCCCACGCTGAGGCAGGGACAGCCACCTCAGCTGAAGGACAGGACACCTCAAGGAGGTCTCCACCCAGACCTTTCTTCCAAGCAAAAACAGTGTCACTGGGACTGCTCTAATTGCCTGAGGAGCTTTACAGGGTAATTACGCCATTTACAGTATGCTTAACAGGCTGCCTCCAGGAATAGCAGGAGTGGGGCGGAGGAGTGCCAGGGATGTGCCTCCCGGAGAAGGTTCTCGGCATCTGCAGGGAGGAGGAGCCCTGCGCCCCCCAGCCCTGCCCGGGAGGAGGGGAGGTGGGCGCCAGCAGCACTTCCACAAGAACAGCCGTGGGGGGGTGGGGGCAGGAAAAGGCTCCAGGAAATCCCAGCTTCTGCCCACCCTCCTGGAAGAAGGCCAGCCGGGCTCGGTGTGCACGATAAGGAAACTGCGGGGCGCAGCGGTCATGGCCCACCCACAGAACAATTCCTGCTGGCCGAGGACCAAGCCTGCCTGGAGGGTTTGGTCAGCACGTTCTTGCCGGCCATGGAAGGGGCTTCCCCACCCTCCACCCCTGCAGGCAGCTCCCCAGCTGATGACCCCTGAGTTTGACGTTTCCTGGACCCGGCAGCGTGGGGTCTGATTCTCTCCCCACTGGGGGGGGGGGGGGGTTGGTCACCAGCCCCTCACACCTGTGACCCGGTGCGGGGCACCCTTACAACAGGATATAGGTGATGGCCATTAGAACCCGTCCCCAGACCACACCTGCACTGATCTCAAATGCATTCTCACACCCCTTTGGTGGCTGCTCATCAACCAAGTCCCCGACGACACAGGCATTGCAAGGCCCCCACACTGACTCAGCCGTGTGCAGGTCACGCTCACACAGCCCACGCTGCTGCTCTCGCCCACTCTGCTCACACTACAGGCCCACCTGGGAGACCTAGGCTGTCACCCTCAGTCTCACCCGCCAGGGACATGCCTGCTTCCTGTGCACACTCCCAGTCCAGACCCAGGCTCGCTCCTGACCCCAGCCCGGATTCTCTGGGGATGAAAACTGACTCCAAGGTCAGTCCAGACGCTCTTGCCCCTTCCATGGTAACAGGAGCTGTGCCAGCAGCTGCCATTCCCGGCTGACACCATGAGCCAGGAGCCATGCTACGTGCTCATCAGATGTCATCCCAATGAGCTCAACCCCAGACCCTGAGGATAAACACTCACTACCAACATCTTACAGCAAACAGGCAGAGCCAGGTCAAGGGACTTGGTCAAGGCCACACGACAACAAGAGCCCAGATTCAGATACGACCTCAGTGTGTCTCCCCGCAAAGCCTGTGTGCTCTGCTCTGAAAAAGCCGTCTCGGTGGTGACCTCCCTGACCCCATTAGAACATATTACACTTCTCATGGATTCGACACAAGACGTGGCTGTGACCTGTGACTCCTCCCACTAATCAGACCTTCTCATCACGATCGGACCCATCCCCCGTCCCTTCACACGGCTGGCATCCAATGCACACAACTCCTGAGGAGAGGAGGATTTCCTTTCCAGAAGCAAAGTTTAGCCGGAATGTCCCTATGATCTTCCTTCTCATCGGAGGGTTCTCGTTGGACCCAGGGGAAGAATGCAAAGGGAAGGCAAACCAACATCACTGGCCATTCCAGGCCTAGGGGAAAATGGACGCTGGCGCACTGAAAAAGCCTGGCACTTGGCGGCCACCCAGGAAGCCCATGCCCTATGCCACCTGCTAAATGCCAGGCACAAAGAGAAACAGGCCTCGAGACCCCTTCCAGGACAGCCAGGTCCAGCACCACAGGGCACGTTCCTTAGAATAGTACGGACTCACCAATTCTCGCGGCCTAGGTCCACGACTGCTCCATACAAGGTGCTTGCTAGATCCAGGGCCCTCTGGCCATGAACGTGTAGGTTAAGTTTAGGGGCCAGGGGCTAGGAACCTGAGTCAGACAGACCTGACGTGATGCTGGCTCTCAGTCTCCACTACTGTCTGCAAAATGGGGTGGGGGGGGAGGGGGGGATGACCAAAGCCACCTTTATGAGCATCAGAAGAGGGAATGGAAGAAGGCTTAACCTTGGAGACAGGCTGCCTCTGGTCCGGCAAGCCAAACTCTTCCCACGGGTCCCACCATCACACAAAGCAACGCCAGGCCAAGTCGCTAGGGTTCTGGGTTCAAGGAAGCCCAGACAGGCCATACTCATGGTCTGGACGGCAGGAGCGGGGGTGTACAATGAATCTACATGCAGCCCCAGGATAGAGGCAAAGCGCTTTTCCTCAGAATTTCAACAAGAACCCTCAGCAGGGCACGCTTGGACCAGGCAAAGAGACCTAGGTTACCGTTAACATGAATCTTTCCAAAAAAGCCCTTCTCACATTCATAAACACCTTGGGAAGGCAGTCCCGCTTCTCTGGGGCTGCCCAGCCCACGGAGGGGGGGAAGGAGGAGTCCTCAAGGACAGGAGGATGTGGCGGGCAGGAAAAGCTCCCGCAGCTAAGCGGGAGGCGCCCGCCCTCCAGAACAGAGCGTACCCCACGAGGTGCAGCCGCCACATTACACAGCTCCATGTGTTTGATTAAAGGCCCTTCAATTTCTCTGTTTGTCTCCTTTGCCCGGTTACGTAACTCCCTTCCCCACCGCCGCTCAGCTATTCTACACACGCGCCTGCTCTCTAACGGCCGAGTTATCGGGACGCTCCATCACCACTCTGTGGGTTTAAGACAACAAAACAAAATCGTCTCGAAGTGGCTGCAGCCACTCTCTCTCCCAGCGAGCACCCTGGGGCTTTTATTTCCTAACTCTGCTGGGCACAGGAGAGAAAAGGGCCCTCCCGAGCATGTGTGCCTCCATGGAATTCACCTGCTACCTGTCTCAAAAGGCCTAAAAAGATCAAACCCCCGCCTCCCACCTCATGCATGGCCACCCTGTGACTGCCACCAGCCACGGGCACCAAGTCACACGTGTCCATACCTTTCATGTATGCCTCGATCTTCCGGATGAGTTCATAGGACTTGGAGCGGTCGAGCAAGGTCCTGATGGCAGGAAGGGGGTCCAGGACAATGGTCTCAGGGTGCGCATCGATGTATTCCTGAAAGGAAAACACACGACTTCCAGTTGGAGGTGGGGGACTGACACTGACATGAGGCTTCTGCAAGATGCCATCCCACGTGCCCTTCCCGCATCCGTCCCTCCCTCCACCAGCCCTGACTTCCGTCTGGGGGTTCGCACGGTCTGGGGAAGCTGCCCCCCACGCTCTCAGCCACACTGGGATCACATGACAATGGTTCGACCAATCAGCTGTATTTCACCCTGGCCACTGGTTCAGGAGAGAACACGTGATCAGAGTCGGTCCAATCAAAGGTAGGCTCGGAGCTCTCACGAGGAATGTTGGGAAGACCATCCTCTTCCACACTGGGGAGAAGAGGAAGCGCAGAGATGCGCAGCCACCCTGAGATGCAAAGGCCAGGCCTGACCAAGCCAAAGCTCAGAAAGGAAGCCCAAAGTGAGAAAAACAGAGCTGAGAAAAAAGGAGCGCACCCAGGTTCTCAGCGGCTCGTCTGGCCCCTGGATAAACCCTCACCTGAAACTGGATCTGCTCCATGTGTGTGGACTGCCCTCAAGGAGAGTGGCCCGGCACCCTGCTCTGAGAAGGCTGCTGAGGCCGGCCAGCGAGAGCGCAAGGCCGGGACTCAGGAGAAGGCGAAGGTCTGTGTGAAGGCTTATTGACAAACGCGCCACAGGCAGCCGTCTGGCCTCGAGTGCTCCCTTCAGCATGCTTCTTCAGTACCCCCTAGCTCCAGGGGTACTGGGAGCACGCGAGCAGAACCATGGCCAAGTCGGCCTCTGAGGAAGTTACAGTCTCCTTGGAGAAATAACACTAATGGGGAACACGAAACTCTAATAACAGAATTCAACACGAAACGGAGCAAAATGTTTCTAGGAAAAGAAAACAAGGATCCTGGCCCTGCCCCTTGTCACCTCTGTGACTATACGGGCCATCCGCGGGCCAGAGCAGCTCATCGGACAGACACAGTAGAGGAGGCCATCCCTGTGGCCCCCAAACACTGCGTTTCTAAGGATAAAAATATGAGGTGCTGGAGTAAGGAGAGAGGAGCACGGAGACAAGGCTGGGTGTTGGGAGGCCACTCACCAGCTGTTGTTCCTGTGAGGTGCACTGTGGACTCCACCACAGATCTGTTCCAGTCCTACTAAGCCCTGGTGCTTGTCAGTGTGACCTTATTTGGAAATAGTGTCTTTATAGATGGAATCAAACTAAAACGAGGCCATACGGGATTAGGAAGGACTCGGATCCATTGACTGGTGTCTTTAAGACGAGGAAAATTTGGACAGAGAGACACACAGGGAGAAGGCCATTTGAAAACAGAGATAGTGACTAAAGTCGTGTAGCCACAAAGGCAAGGCTGACCAGGGACTACTGGCCGCTGCCAGAAAGTGGGAGACACGCATGGAACAGACTCTGGGCGCCTCCAGGAAGAACCAGCCCCGCAGGCACCTTGACTTCAGACTTCTGGCCTCCTTAACTGGGCGAGGGGGAAAAAAACTCCCTTGTTCTAAGCCACCCAGTATGTGGTACTTTGTCAAGGCCACCCCAGGGAATGAATACACCAGCTTAATTCATCCCCCTGCCCGCCCCGTCTACCAGATCCGTCTGCGAGGTCAGCAAAGGCCAAGAAACAAAGCCACAATGCTTCTTTTCAAGTCGGCCTTATCAACAAAAAAGAAAGCTCCATTTGGAATTACTCCTTTTTTTTTTTTTTTCAGTGAACCTATTTTGGTTCCTAGTAATCATTTTTAAGAGCTCTCAACACAAAGCCAGAGATTTCTATCTCCTTCTCCTCTGAAATCTCCCCCTTCCCACACCCCTGCCTTGTGTTTCCTACCAAAGTATCTGGTTATGGGCTCACTTGGGTCTTTTTCCTTGAACGTTTAAAATTTTTTCTCTGTCCCTAAGGGGTGGCCAGTACATGCCTGTGAGAAGCCCTTCTTCTCATCCTCACATCCATGAACTCTCTGGAGTCGCCACGCTCTCATCCCCTCATCCCTGTACCCCCATCCTATAGATACAGACACAGAAGAGAAGCCACCTTCCTCCTCCTCCTGCAGGAGGCGACTGTCAGCAAGTCAGCTCAGTGGCTGGCCCACCTTCCTGCTTATACAGAACAAGCCCCCAAGCGGATGAGGGCAGGCCCACGTCCGCCACCCACAGGGACCGTGAAGACAAGCTGAGAAGTGTCTTCTTTTTTTTTTAATTTGAGAGTGTGTGAAAGCAGGAGAGAGAGGCAGAGGGAGAGACAGAGACACACACACAGAGAGAGGGAGAGACAGAGAGAGAGACAGAAAGAGAGAGAGAGAGAGAGAGAGAGAGAGAAACTCAAGCAGGCTCCATGCTCAGCGCAGAGCCCAACTCAGAGCTCGATCCCATGACCTTGGGATCAGGAGCTGAGCCAAAATCAAGAGTTGGACACTCAACCCACTGAGCCACCCAGGCGCCCCTGACAAGTGTCCCTAAGGAAGGTTTATCCAGAGACACCTTCAGGCCAGGGGCTGTACCCAGCTCCGCTCTCCTACAGCCTCACCCAAGTGCCTGCACCTCTCCGTGGCAGGCTCCCCAACAGCAACTATCTGTGTTGGCACCATTGCTTTGAGCCAGGTCTACACTGCCACGAGAGCAGGTCACTCATGAAGACACCAGGATTCCCACGTGCACATGAAATCAGATCAGTGTCTTCGTGCTAAAAGGTCATCCACTCAACAAACTGCACATCATTCACGGCGCTCAGATCACGGTGCAGAGTGCCAGAGACACACGGCCGAATGAAAGTCTCCTGGGCTTGGCCCTGCTGCATCTATAATCCTGGCCAGAGATTGCATATTCTGGGCTGTGACCCGAAGGCACTGAAATGTCCCCACACACACCCCCTCCTCCCCCACCCCAACACGCCAGGAAGCAGGCTAGTGTGGAGGGAAGAGTAAGGGCCCAGGACTCACGACACCCAGGCCCCCACTGTTAGCACCTCCCAACGTCACCTTGGGCAGGCCATCTGGCTTCTCTGGGTCTCAGTTCCTTCATCTGACTGAAACGCCTAAATTGGAGAAAACTGAAGGCTGGTGTGTGGAGGGGCAGACTTCAGGGCCACACGTGGGGCTGTCTGAGAACTGGACGGACAGCCACCTGCTAGAGGCATTACAGGGTAAGGTGGGGACACACAGGCAGGCATGCTGCCTTCCTTTAAAGAGAGGGCAGCGTCAGAGATGCTCACTTTGCTGGGCTGGCCCAATTCTCTCCCAGCAACTGAGTCCCATAGTCTGGACACGCTCCTTCCCCCCCTNGCTCAGAGTTGGGCTCAGGCAGACACTTTTCTCTCAAGGTAATCTGAAAGAGCAGACGGGATACTGGGGCAACAGGGATGGAGCAAGCCCCCCCCCCCCCCCCCCGGCCCCAAGAAGAGTATCTGAGTGGTTGCTGGATCTGGTCCTGCTTTTATGCGTTAGGGCAGTGACCTTTAAAGAGAGAGCTCAGAATCATTAAGACATGAATTGAAGCCAAACTCACGAGGGAAAGAAATTAGAAGAAACCAAAGGGGAAAATATCTGACAAGCAGGCGCCAACAAGCTTTTGACCCGGGATGAAAGCGTCAGTATTAACAGAGGAATTATTCCTGAACACAATCTCTCTCGGGACAAGGACAGAGAGGGCAAAGAAAGAGTTTTTCCAATCGCCCCGCTATCCACAAGTGCATTTCCTTCCAAGGCCTTCAGCCTATCTATTGTGGCGCAGGCCTCATGCATTTTTCACAAGTCTCTTAGAATTACCAAACAAATTGCTGGAAGGGTGAGCGCCCTGTGCAGTTTTATTGCCACTCAGAAGAAGAAAGGCCCCAACGGTCTCCATGGCAAATGGTAAACACATGTTCCTTCAGCGCGCCGCCCGCCGCACACCTACAAAGGGGGCCTGGACGTGAACAAGGGGGGCCTGGCTGGGAGCCGACGGAAAAGCGGGGAGAGCAGACGCGGGCGGCTCTGGTCACAGGGCCAGGGAACTCTGTTTGTTGAGGGGACAAAGGGGCAGAGGCCAGCCGGGTGCCCCGCGACCCGAGGCCCACGGGACGGTGATGCCAAGAGGGAAACTGAGTGCTCTCTGCCGGGCTGGGGCACGTCAACGCTTCCCCATGGAGAACGGGAGCCAGACAAGAGGGCCGGGGTGAACATCAGAGATACCACTTCCTCTGCAGTTCCATTTATGGACAGGAAATGAGCAGGGAGACGCAAACGTTTGCCCTTATCTAACAGAAAACTCAGGCAAAAGTCCCAAGTTCAAATCCTGCCTCTACCACTCACCCTATGTCTGTGAAAAAGAAACTGCGGTTAATCTCTGAGATTCTGTTACCTGATGTGCAAAATGCACGTTTTGAATGAAACCTATGTCAGGGAGCAGCTGTGGGCACTTGGACCCGGACGGGAAAGGAGCTGGGGGAGGGAAAAACAAACAGGATTCTCGTGGCTGGACAACATGCCGACTCCCGGCAGCAGACCCGACCCGAGGTCCCTGAGCTCCTCCTGCCCTGGCCCCTCCAGCAGACTGAGGGGCAGGCGGGCCCTGCCCCTGGGGTCAGCCCTCCTGCCCCGTGGTAGCCCAGGCTCCAGGGTACACCCCTCTGTGGACCGCTCAGGTCCTGGCCGAGCCCACAATGCCAGCCGGCTCTTTCCAGGGGAGTGAGAGGCGCCCCCACACAGCTCCTGCCCCCTCGGTTCTCAGCGGCCGTGGGCGCTCTGGCCTCCTCTCCCAAAACACTGCAGGCCCCCCTTTTAGAAAGTGGTGATGCATTTGGTAGAGATGCACGCTCAAGTGATTTACGGATTAAATATGACATGTGGACTCTGCTTCAAAGTAACCAAGCCCAGGGGATGGTGAGGGGCGACAGGTGAGACGAGAGTGGTCATAAGCCGTCGACTCGCGAGGCTGGGTGCTGGGACCCAGCAGTGTGTGGCAGGAGTCCGTCAAGTATTTTTAAATTCTCTGTAATAATGGAAAATTCGGGCGGTGGAGAGGAGGGAGGGGGCTAAGTA